AATACCCTCTGCAAGGGTATAACAAGAAAGGAAGCAAACTTCGGCAGGCTGAATTTATATATCCTTGCAGTTATTACAAAACATTACGATTTCTATGCCTATATTACTAAAAACAATGAAGCCATGTCGATTTTGTGCTGCGTTTTGTAATCGTTTCTATGGCTGCTTTATGATATGATGTTTTAACAAAACTAAAAGCGTAATTCTGATATAGTAAATAATTACTATGTCTCAAAGTATAACACCTAAAAAAATGTAAACAATGGTCAATTGCTTAATTCCGCAAGGCCTTCTAAAAAAACCAGAAAGGAAAGCTAACTTCGGGCGGAGCCGATATTTATATACCCTTGCAGAATATTCTGTAAATTATATTGGTTGGCCAAAAATACAACCAATAAAAAATCCCGACTTCCTAACTTTAAAAACACCAAAGTTATGGCATTTCCAATCGTTCAGTTATATGGCAGCTATAGGATATAGTCGGCCGATCCGGCTCGCTCCAACTTATATACTACCTCCAATAGAAAGACAACTTTTGGGAAAGTTTCAAGCAGATAGCTTTAAAACTGAGGGACTAGTTTGCGTAGAAACGGACGGACGGACAGACGGACGTGATGCTGATCAAGAATATATATACTTTATAGGGTCGGAAATGTTTCCTTCACTGCGTTGCAAACTTTTGACTGAAATTATAATACCCTCTGCAAGGGTATAAAAATGGTTAAAACTCATAGTTTGATCCCACATTTGTGCAGAAGCCACATAGGCAGATATGAGCACTTAGCTGTCCGAACTTCCGCTTTTCTGCACGCCACTTCCGCTTTAATAAAGTTTGTTATTTTGTCTAGCCTTATAGCGCTTAACAACTACTTTTGCCGTCTCCTTTTGCCACTTAGAAAAATTTAGTATTTAATCGCAAGATGATAAACTTTTTTTAAGAATAAAATGTAACAGAGCAATTTGTTTCCTAATTTAATTGTAATAATTATATATTATTATAAAATTTCGTTTTCGTGGTGCTTATGTGCCAAAAAAGTTAATTTCAAAATTAATTTGTATGTGAAAGTGAACTGTATACGCCTCCATTAAATTGTAAATCAATTTTCACGGTTTTCGATTATTTAGTATCAAAAAATTTAAAATTAAAGGTAAATGCTTGGACCATGAAAATTTAAAATATAAAAATCAAATTCATTAGCAAGTGTGGTAGTGAATTAAGAAAACATTTGCTTGGTCGAAATGACCCATTCGCATAACTATAAAAAATAGTTATGTAATTATTTAAAGTAGTAGGTCATTTATTTGTACTATTTTATTGTAAAATACCATTAAAATAGTTAATCTGATATGAAACGTGAATTTGTTTTAGAAGACCTTTTGGTTTCTAGACAAAGGTTCCAGGGCTCTATACCCGAAGACTTACAAATCGGATATTAAATGGAAAATTACATTTGAAATAGTTAAGTTTTTAATTATAGGATTTATTACTATCTTTTGTAGCTGATTTATCTTAATCGTGTCCAAAGCATTTTACTATAAACATTGTTTATTTATTAGTATCTATGTGTTGGAGACTTGTGACTACCCTGCAGTACCGTTCATCACCTTTTAATCGCTTTTTCATCACCAAAAATACATCACTGCTGATGATTAATCGATGAATCTTCATACAAATTAGTGATGAATTTAACATTGGCATGTCCTAGGAGTTAATCAGTGAAAAATTCATCACTCTTTAATCAGTAATTCATCACACAGAGACAGAGTAAGAGAGGGAGATGGAAATTTTTCTGCGTTTCCTACGATCGGGGACTGAGAGTTTCGGCTCTGCCTGCGTCGCACTCGGCTATGCCGAATTTGCCTTTGGCTCTGCCGGCGTCGCAGTCCGCTGCTGATTAAACGGTGATGAATTTTTGTACTGATGAAGTTTGCAACGCAGAGAAGCAGAAATGTTCGACCCTATAAAGTACATACAGTAGAATCCGGTTATAGAAACTTTCAAGGCACCGACGATTTCACGTCATACTACCCGGAAGACGAACTAACCATATAAGTTTGTATCATATAAGTTTATTTGGGGACCAACCAAGCCATCGAGTTTTCGTCCCAATAACCGGACGGGCACTGTAAGCGGAGTCGTTATAACTGTATATAAATTACATGTCCTTTGTTATTATTTAGTTTTCTATTTTTTTAAGCAATGAACATTAAAATAAACATTTTTCGTAATGTGTGTGTTTTGCAGTTTCATCTTAAAATTTAAGTTTCCTTTTTTTCAACTCTTTGTGTGTTTATAATTCCTTACTGGTATTAGCGCGCCGGACACCAAAATGCACAAATCGCCACTGAAAAGTTTAGACTATACTTAAGTTTTATAGTCAGTGTTTATGCACTTTCACCCTAGCTAGAGCCCAAGTTTAGCCATACTACTGGTTAGGACTAACTTCTATTTTTTTTAGTAGGATTACCAATTTAAGAGATGTTTCTATTAATTGGTGATTTACCATTTCCGTGGTCTAAGAAAGTATAAACATAATTAGGTGAGGTAGTTCAACCATTTTTGTCGTTTAAATATCCAATTTTTATAGTAACCCATACGCCTTCAATAACGTTAAAACTATTACCACTTGGGTTCGAGAATTGTAACTATTTTATTTGGCTTTTCTTCCCCTTGTGCATAACGGCAAATTTGCGCGAAGACCTTTGATATTGTAACTGAACTGTTCAAAAACAGGATCATGTTGTTTTTACTAACGCCAGATTGAAGACAAGTGCACCCAAATGATTTGGAATGAACTTAGTGAAAAAACAAGAGAGAACGCTATAGTCGGGTGCCCCGACTATCAGATACCCGTTACTCAAGTAAAGGGAGTGCGAGGGAGATGGAGATAGAAACTTTGATCACGCATAACTTTTTAACGAATGGTCCGATTTGAAAAATTTGTTCTACATTTCGATAGGTATTGATAAGCACAATAAAACTGCATTTTTACTTTTCCGAAATATTAAAATTTTTAAAATCGTATATAAGTGATTGTGGGCGTTAAAGGGGGCGTGGCACCTTTTTGAAACAAACTTGCGCTGCGTAGGAACTCCTAGAATCTGCATGCAAAATGCCAATCTTCTAGCTTTTATAGTTTCCGAGATCTCAGCGTTCATACGGACAGACAGACAGACGGACAGACAGACGGACAGACGGACAGACGGACAGACGGACATGGCTATATCGACTCGGCTAGTGACCCTGATCAAGAATATATATACTTTATAGGGTCGGAAACGCTTCCTTCTAGCTGTTACATACTTTTGCACGAATACAATATACCCTTTTACTCTACGAGTAACGGGTATAATAAATACAAAATATTAATTTAAATATAACAGAGCTCATTATACCCTTGCAGAGGGTATTATAATTTTGGTCAAAAGTGTGCAACGCAGTGAAGGAGACATCTCCGACCCTATAAAGTATATATATTCTTGATCAGGATCACCTCCTGAGTTGATATAGCCATGTCCGTCTGTCCGTCTGTCCGTCTGTCCGTCTGTCCGTCTGTCCGTCTGTCCGTCTGTCCGTCTGTCCGTCTGTCCGTCTGTCTGTCCGTCTGTCTGTTTCTACGCGAACTAGTCTCTCAGTTTTAAAGATATCGAATTGAAACTTTGCACACACCCTTCTTTCCTTTGCACGCAGTATATAAGTCGGAACGGCCGGGATCGGCCGACTATATCCTATAGCTGCCATATAACTGATTGATCGGAAATGCCATAACTCTGCTGTTTGTTAGGTTAGGAAGTTGGGACTTTCTATGGGTTTTATATTTGGCCAATCAATCCGACGTACCAAATTTCATAAGGATCGGCCGACTATATCTTATAGCTGCCATATAACTGATTGATCGGAAATGCCATAACTTTGGTGTTTGTAAAGTTAGGAAGTTGGGATTTTCTATGGGTTTTATATTTGGCCAATCAATCCGACGTACCAAATTTCATAAGGATCGGCCGACTATATCTTATAGCTGCCATATAACTGATTGATCGGAAATGCCATAACTTTGGTGTTTGTTAAGTTAGGAAGTTGGGATTTTCTATGGGTTTTATTTTTGCCTAATCAATCCGACATATCAAATTTCATAAGGATCGGCCGACTATATTCTATAACTGCCATATAAGTGAACGATTGGAAATGCCATAACTTTGGTGTTTTTAAAGTTAGGAAGTTGGGATTTTTTATGAGTATTAAGAATGCATTATGAATGTTTTGGAGAATATAATTTGCAGAATATTCTGCAAGGGTATTTCAACTTCGGCTCCGCCCGAAGTTAGCTTTCCTTTCTTGTTTTATATTTTTATGTTACCAGGAAATTGGAGACCTTATTTTAGTCTAATTTTTTCCCCCAATTTACCTTTTACCACCCTTTACCCTTGCAGCTATAGAAAAATGTAAGTTACTCAGGATTTCTTAAAATTAACTTTCAAGGCACTTTAAACCTAAGATCCTAAGCCGATCATATTTCAATCTATTTTTAATTTGAGTAGACCCCACATTGCCCAAGATCCATTATGCTAATACGGTACCAAGTTAAATAGGTTTTCCATTGCACAAGACTTCTCGAAAACTGCACCAGCGGCAGCAAATCAAATGAAATCCTAAACCATAATATTACAAAAATATGGTCCTCCCAATTTAGGGCGCCTGCGTGGTGAGCAGAGCTGCCGAGTGGCAGCCACAAACAGCCGGCGAAACGCGCGCCAATGTCAGAACAACAGAAAAAGTGCAATAACAACCACAACGACAACAACTTTAGCACTAGTTCAAGTTCAATGCAACAACAACAGGCGCACGTGACGCAAATGTGCAAGTCCTGCCACAACAATAAAGAGCGCTAACAGGGCCTGTTAACTTGGCCAACAGCAGCTGCCGACTGTGCCGCATTCGGGCGGGTTTTCGTTTGCCCGCTTTTTGGGGAACGAAGTGTCAGAATGTCGCGGCATCTCAAACGAATCGGACGCAAAATGGAAAAATCGAGGAAAAAATCGGACAAGTGTTCCGAGTGATTTTTGGATAATATTTCATTCGCTTTCGTACTAAACAAACGGAATAACGGCACGCGATTGTGTGAGTTCGCCTTGCCGAATGCAACATATTTATTTATGATATTTTGGAAGTGCAAATTTATAAATTTTGATTAGCCGCATTGAAATGTCGGAAGTTTTTGAGAATATAATTCATTCAACTTTTGGCTTGGTTTGAAATATTTTTATGAAAAACCTAGTGCAAAAGAATTTGTATATTTTTTTATTTAAGTACTTGATAAAAAAAATAATAATACATGATTTTAGGCAAATTTTTACTTTGAAAAGTTTAGCTTATTTTAAAAGAATTGGGACAAGCTTATGCTACCTTTTTAAAAATCTTTAAAGTAACTCCAAAAAATTCAGTTTCGATTTCTTACTGCATTAAGTTGTACAACGTTTACTATAATGTTACACATTGGGCAAACAAATAACTTATTTAACGTTAGTTTTAATTTTTACTTTTACACAGCCAAAATAAGCTTGTCCGTTATTGAAAATAATGTTCAAATAAAATAAATTATTTCTTTGAAAATCTTTGTGATATTTATAGAAGTGAACAAAGTTCGTCGAGCTAATCGGATATGCAAAATAATTATTAACCAAAAGATTTTGAAAAACGAAGGCCATTTTTACAACATGCGAAATTCTCAAAAATAAATAGTCCCGGTACAACTCGCGCAACGCCAAATTAACGAAGCATTAAGAGCAAAAACAATATTTTTTTTACTATGCATTTCGCTTCTTAAACTGAATGATACTCAAGGAAATCTATATGTATATCAGAGCCTTACATTCAAGTGTCACTAATAAAAAAATTGTTTATATTAGGCAAAATTCTGGTAAAACTGTGCTTTTTAAATTATACTAACAATTTGTGAATACAATTGCTCAATAAACTCAAAACAAGGCGGAATACACTGAGAAAGAAACCAACTTTATTTGTCACCCATTTTGAAGGAGTAAAAATAAATAATCATTGGATAAAAAACACGAAATAAAGGAGAAATAAATCAAAGATTGGACACATTCACTTTAATATTATCTCCTGCAGGTAAAATGTAACAATATTTAATTTAATCTTTTAATCTCTCGAGAGGTAATGAAGAGTTCCATACCCTCATCAGAAATTTGACTTTCCGGACGTAAAAGAAAAAAATTTGCGAGCTTATATCTAATGCCGAGAAGAACAAATAAAAATGATGACAGCTTGGCGCAGGTGTGCTTTAGTCCATTTGATTCGGATTGCGTCTTTGTTTTTTGTGTTTATTTGTGATTTTGATTTGCGTGTTCGTGTCTCGATTAACAAATGGCAGATTTGTATTTGTACAGGTCCTTGCCCATTTTTGCCATCACCACCAGACCACAACCCACAATCAGATAGACAGCGGTTCATTAAGATACCTTTTGAAAAATGTGTTGACACGTGCTTTGTGAATGTGCATATGTACATGTTTCCAAAGACTGGCTTCGGTTTCCCTTCAGGACAAATGAAACTCCTCCGGAATGTGTAACTCAGGAACTATTTAATAATACTGATGTCTTCGTCGAGAATAGACGTAAAACATTAAAAATTCAAGAACAACAAAGCTATAGTTTTAAATAATTGAACACTTTTAGGAAAGTTTCATAAGGCTCAAAACTGACTAACTAGTTTGCGTAGAACCGGACGAACAGCCAAACATGGCTAGACAAACTTGCCTGGTGAGCTGTTCAATAATATATATACTTTATAGGGTCGGATCTTTAACTGAAAAGGGTAAAAGTAGCTTTAGTAGAGTTTTTCACCGAAACTATTCAGCCCTGCTTATAAATTACGAATGATACGTTCAAGTTTTGATATACATACACACTCTGCCTTTTGTATTGCAAAGTATTTTTCGTTTCATTGTGTCGATATAGGACCATGATAAGCTGAGAAACAAAACACTATACATCCAAATGTTCTGAGCCGCTTGCATTTCATTTCCGGTAATATCCTGCGAATCCTGATTGTGCTAATATACCAGTTCAAATCACGGTACCCCGGCTTTTAACAGATTAAACATCATCGTCTGATTTAGACATGAACGAAATCGCCAGCAACCACCCACAACTGGCAAAAACTAAATGAAGCGCAAATGACAAACATTGTCAACTCGACTATTAAGGTGGCAGGATGCCTCCCCTGCTCTGCGGGTCCTTTTCTATAGCACTTTCTGCGGGCGACAGGCTGTTAGAATATCCACAGCAGCATCGAATTAATTTTGGTCTGCTCTGCCTATATAAGGTCATCACGCCATTCATTAGAATTTGGAATTTTGCAATGCAAACATAAATTAATTTGATTATTTCGAATACATTTGGGAATTACTAATTTATTAACTTGTTGCTTATCCGTAAAGCTCGTATAATTTAAGCTCTGCATAAATTGTATGAGAACAATTAAACTTTATTGGGTCTTGATTAACAAAATCCACTTCATTTCGATTTGTATGCCTATATTACTAAAAACAATAAAGTTATGTCTAGGTTGTGCTGCATTTTGCCATCGTTTCTATGACAGATATATGATATTGTTGATTTCGACAAAACTAAAAGCGTAATTCTGATATTGTAAATATTTACTATATCCCAAAGGAATATTGTGATAAATAGAAAAATTGCAAATACAATTTTTTTCATATATATTTTTAATAATTTTTATATTTTCTTAAAGAGCTATATGATATAGATGTCCGATTTTAATTTAATAAAAGCCGTAATTCCATAGTATTTAAATATTACCAAATCCCAAAGAACAACAAAAATAAAAAATTTTCCGACTTATATCCTACCTGCAATAGAAAGACAACTTTTGGGAAAGTTTCAAGCAGATAGCTTTAAAACTGAGGGACTAATTTGCTTAGGAACAAATAGAGGGTCATGGCTATGATCGAATCTCCTGTTGAGCAAGAATATATATACTTTATAGGCTCGGAGACGTCTCCTTCACTACGATGCAAACTTTCGACTGATCTTATAATACCCTCTTATATCATATAAGTGCAACTCCGAGAGTTACAGCTATTTTACCTAAGTAAGCAATCTTTTTCTTTATCTTTTAACCAGAGTTAATTTTTTTGATTTTAAAAAAATGTTTTTCTTTTTTATGCCTTTTTCTAAAATATTAAAAAAATTTAACGAGTGAACATAAAGTTTTTGTGACATGAGCTCGATTTATGGCTGGCTGCTTACGAATTTTTATTAGCTTCATTTACGACTGCGGGCGGTAGCACAAACTAAAATTCCCAACTGATTTGCTACACCTTTTCTGGCGAAAAAAACCTTTTTACAGAACACTTTTTTTGGCACTTGTGGTGAAAAATGAAAAACAATAAATCAATTTCTTTGATTATATTTATGTGAAGGTGCTGTTGTATATATCAATAGTAAACCACACTCCTGCAAATTTTACAAACTGATACATATCAAAACTATTTTGAATGGTGAATTGAACAAATTATGTATCTGAGTTCAGAAAATTAGTTCTCCCTTGCTTCATTTTGACTTGATTGGTTCACGAATTAACTGTAGACTTGCACATGATTAAAAAAAGAATAAATTGTGTGCATTACCTACGGATTAAGGACCTGCCATTTATCATATTTACAGGTGCGAGGTTATTTGCTCCTAGGCTTTGTCATATTTACATAATGTCCCAAATAAATTTGTTTGTTTTGAAAGTCCTAGGTTTCAAATTCTGTTTTTTTGCCTTGCGCATACTTACGGGCGATTTGTCAGTGGCTCCTTTCCAAACGAGTTTGAGCCTACATGACATCCACACATACATCATGAATATTTCATTTGATTAGGTATGACTGGTTAAAGACCATGTTAAGCTCATTATGTGTCAACTAATCCTTTTGTAAAAAGATCACATTTCCAAATTAACTCACATCAAATAAGAACGGAAGATAAGTGGTAGACGAAATTTATGTAACCTTTTCGGTTATTATAAATTATGTTAGTTAATAAAACGTTTCTAAAAATTTACAATACTCTTTTAAATATATTTATGCTATTATTTCTAGCCAAAAAGGATCAGGGAGAGCTCGGTGAACTCGGTTTTAAATATAAAAAAATCTTCAATTCCTTTGAAATCGTATTTTTTGGAACATATTTATATAAAGACAGCGATTGTTTTAAACGGAGAAAACTAGCAGAATACTTATGTGTAGGGTCGAAACATTTTTAAAAGTTAAAAAGTTATGTTTACTTATTAATTTTAAAATGTTTTTTTTACTTATTTAACATTTGTTACCCTGTTTCTGCACCTAAAAGTTGAATTTAAAACCGTGAAAAACGTTCCGAAAAACGTCGGAGGTTTGCCAACTTCTTTTCAATCAAAAAAGCATAGATTTGAGATATACGCAAGAATTTTCAAGACATCAAGCATTAATTTAAAGTCTGGCAGTGGAATTGAGTAAAAGTACTTTATATGTCTAATCGTTTTAAACATCTGATCCAAATTATATTACATATATAATTATGCTAGACTCTAAGCATTGAGAAAATGTAGTAAAATCAACCGGAGTCTTTCTAAAAATTTTTGTTGGGTGGGGTGGGTGATATTACACCTCTTATTTTGAAATTGGCGGTTAACAGGTTGTGTCTGCCCTTGCGGCGTATACAGAATGACATTCACATCCGAATCGATTGGCGAAAGGTAAGGTCAGGAACGTAAAGTCTAAATAATTGTTTTCATATTTATTATTTACAATTTAATTCAGGGTCAAAACGTTCGCATTAACCTTTGGCGTAACGTAAAAATAAGCTAGTTGACGACAATTTGTACTTTCAGCTTAGCCAGGAGACACCAAACACGTCACTCTTCCCTCAAGTTGGTCCCCGACGGTTGATGGCAACGTCACGCAATCTTGTGGCTTCCACAATGTAATTTGCGCAATGCATTCATTAAGCATTTTGCTCCTTCTAGGGTTTTTTGCGCAATTTTAAACTCATTTGCATGGAATTCTGACTTCTTCCCTGCTGCTGAGGATAATTAGGTTCGCCACTCTTAATGCAGGCAGTCGGTGTTGAATTTTGTTCATATAGCACAACACAAATTTATGCTAACGAACTGAAATAACAGTCAAGCGACGAGACCGCAATCTTATTTGCGCACAAAAAACACAAAACTTCGGCATATCTATGGTTACAATAAAAGGGTCAGATCATCAGAAAGCAACAATAAAGTTGGGCGGCAGGTTTTTGTGGCCGCGAAGGGGAGAGTGGGGGGCAGGAAGACTGCCGAATAAGCCGGGCTATAAACCACAACAAACGTCAAAACAATTTCCGCCTGCACAACCCGACGACATTGTGACGCAGTTAGTAACTTTAAAAATGTTGGCAGGGGCAGAGGGAAATAGGTGAACCAAGGAATGCGGTAAAAAATTTGTTGACTTCTTAAGTGGTCTATGGTGAACGATTTAAAACTTTGCTTGCGATGCTTAGTTCTTGAAGCTACAAACACTTCATTATGATGTTTTTATAAAAATAACAAATTGTTGTTTTTGGAAACATTAAAAATACAAATACCGAAGTACTACAATTGATTTTTAGAAGTCCTGACTGGTATATTTTTTTGTTAAAACTAAAAATGTAATTTAATTTATTGTACTTATTAAACTAACGTTGACATTTATTTCAAAACACAGCGGTTTCTAACAGGGCGATAAATCAATCAATAGCACTCAATATCTATCTATTATTCTACTCTTCATTTATGTGCTTCCATTTCATTTTGCAAAACCGACACAATAAATCCATGGCCAACCTAGAAAACCCCAATTCACACATTCCGAAACGTAGGACAGCAAATCAAGCGGTTTGAAATTGAACGGGGGCAAAATGCACTAGGAGTTTGTGCAAAAAGCCCATTTTGTCAAGAGAGCAATGTTTTGTTACTGGGCGGAAAAATCAACCAACAAAGGTTTACCTGTACGATGGCTTACATTTTTTGTGTTTTCTGTCAGGGTGCAATTGTTTCGATTACAGGGCGTGGCAGGCACACGTTTTGCCCATCGCATTGTG